TATTTTTGTCAGTAGATCATGGTCATAAGAAAAGGTACATTTTTTAATCTTATGAATCTTAAACTTAAAAAAAATAGATTTCTTTACAATTCACATGTAAAGAAATTAAAGTACCAAAATTGAAGCGATCATATCCAATTCTACTTTACTCCCCACCCTACTCAACTACACAGAATCGACTACTTTTGATCATTTTAATAATTTAACCATGAAGACTAAGGCCTAGGCCCCTACATCATAGCCTATAGACTGCATGAGCATCAGCAGATTTCTCATGATTACTTAAAAATCTTTAATAGCACACTGATACCAATATTCCTAGATTTATCAACACCAGACATCATCAATTACCTAATAACTTATGAGAATTTAACTCATTTATTCCTTCTCTCATCTCCTCATCAAGTAGTATGTGATCAAGCCTTTTACAGGTGCTACAAATATAGACGTGTGCAGAATACAGGAAGCCTTGCCTTCATTAAGCTTCCATTGCAATGGGAAGGAGGAAACAATAGACATTATAGGCCAAGTGTTGATAACAGAGGAGAATAAAAAAGTGAATGCAATATCAGGGCAAGCTGGAAATAAGAGTTATTTTTTATAGGATTATTCAAGAAGGCCTTTTTTTTTTTTCTTTTTTGTTTGTTTGTTTGTTTGTTTTGTAATAGGGCATATGTGTTCACTAGAGAGGGCAGTGAGAGGGAAAGTGAGAAATCACTCCAGGGAACCTGGCCATGCCACAGTCCCTTCTCCACCATTCTCCTTGTGATATTTTTGTAGTGCATACACATGCCTGGTGTGATTCTCTAGTCACTAGGTCTGAGACTCAGACCACAGTTGGCCATGTGGGAATTCGGCACCTTACCCACTACACTACCTACTGCCCCCAAGAAGGCCTTCTTGACAAGGTGACATTTCATAAGAGCCTGAAGATAATAAAGGAATTAACCCTGTCACTATCAAAGGGAATGTGAAGAACTGTGGCAGAAACATATTTGCTCTGCTAAAGAACTGGTAAGAAAACTGGTGTATATGGAATACAGTGAGAGCAGAGAGTGGTAGAAGACAGGGTTTGGGACAGTGGGCATGGAGGGGGCATGCTGCAGATCATGTGGATCGTTGTCAGCTAATAATAACAAAATGGATTATATGATTATATACTGAAGAAATGGGTTTCCGACATCAGCATGAAGCAGGGTAGAGATAGACATTCAATGTCAGTATCCATGATGACTAAGGCCTAGGCCCCTACATCATAGCCTAGAGACTGCATGAGCATCAGCAGATTTTTTCTGATACTATAATACTATACTTAATAATGTTGTATAAACCACACTGGAGTAGGGACTGTACAAAGACAAGATGAGAGACTTGTGTAAATATTAAAGGTGGGAAAAAGCCTTGAACTAAGGCAGTGATATTAAATAGGTAGAAGAGTGGACAGATTTGAAAGAAATTTCCAAAAAGTAATTGGTGACTATTTAAATGTGGCTCTAAAGAAAAGATAGGAAAATACTACCTGTCTAAGGAAATAAAGAGGTTTAACAGAAAAATTCAAGAGAGGAGGATGGTTTCATAACTTTTAAAATATATATTTATTGGGAACAGCATATGTAATAAGGACTATGTTGCTGGAGTCCCATGTGGTTGACCATGGTTCGAGTCCTAGACCCAGCGGCTTAAAACTCATGCCTGGCACTTGTGCATGCATACCCCAAATTCCAAGATGAGAATGAGAAGGGACTGTGGTGTGGCCATCCCCTCAGGAGGGGGATGATTTCTTGCTTTCTGTCTGTCTGTTTCTGCCTTTCTGGAGAGCACATGTACCCTACAGCAAAAATCTCTCTTTAAAAAAAAGACAAAAAAAAAAAAATTAAAA